CTGCGGAGACGGCGGAACCAGCGCAGGCCCTCCCGCCTATTGCTACAAAGTCTGCCTGAGCCCTGAATCGGCCAAGAGCGACTTCATGTTCCTGAAAGCCTGCAGTCCCGCCCCTCCGAGGAATAACGAAGCGGGCCCTCAGAGCATGCCGCCGGGCCCCGGCCCGAAAACCCGAGGGGCCAATAACTCTCGGCAGCTCGCCGACCAGGTAGCTTCTTGGGCGCCCCGATGGGGTGGGGGAGCCGTCTCCGGGAGGTAGGCTGGGAGAAAGGCAAACAGTGCCCGGAAACTGGAACACAGTAAGGCAACTTTCGAGAGGGTGAGACCTTTTCAATCCCGCTCAACTTTTTGAAAGAGAGCGGCCCGGCCCTTTCCCCTGAGGAGCCGTCGGATTCCGCCAAGCCTCTGGCTCATTACGTAATGATTTGCCGAACCTCGGCTCCTTTTAGAATGATCGGATGTGCGCCAAATGCTGGGAAAGGCTCCTCGAGCGCCGCTTTGGGTCGACCTCAGGAGCGCCCCGGGACTTGGACAGATTCGCTCCGAAACTGGGCCGCTCCCCTTCCCGGTCCGCCGCTCCCTGGCTCTCGCCCGCTCCCCGGTCTTTCTTCCGGGCGCGACGTGGCTCGGCGGTTCGCAAGAGCGATTCCTGAGCCTCCGGGGGTGGGGGCAGTGGCGGGGCATTTCATTCCCTTCGACTGGGAGAAGGAAGCCCAGCGGAGTCAGTACAGCTAAAGCCTCAGGCTCTGCCCTTTGCTGGGAGTGGATCGCCCGGCCTGCATTTGCAGTGGGGTCTTGCAAGTCAATCCCTTCGCTGGTAACAGCGATCTGCTCGGAAGCGAGTCCCTTCAACGGGGCTGTTGCTGAGGGAAGGGTCGGGTCCCGCTCAACTCAGAGACTTTCCCGGAGCCCTGGTGTCCTTCCATGCTCCACTCCTCCTTCCCCAGCAGACGGGCACCTGCTTTTTCCGTTTAGGTGGCCCAGCCTTGCCTGTGCTTTCTCTGGCTGCCCTATCCTTTCTTGGGTCCCCATCCCTGTCCCCGAGATTAATGCCACGCTGCTGTGTGTCAAGAAAGGGGAGAGGATACTTTGTGAGAGGAACCAACTCCTGGCCATGACAAAGAGCTGGATGAGAGGAAAAAAGGACCTAGA